TTTGTAGATACATCCACCTCAGTCTCTTACAGGGAATGAAGAAGGTCCTTCTCAAAGTTTTACCCAGCAAATAGAAAAAAAAAATCTTAGTTTCAGGAGAAAGCAAAATTATGGAATGTGAAAGAAACATTTATTTCTATTTAGCTTGCTTACTTGAGTACAGCTATTTATAAGTGCTGTGAGGACACAGTATGGCAAAGCTGCTCCCTGTTCAGCTCCTTCACTTTGTGTGCACAATGCTTAATTTTGAATTTAATTGTAATTTGAATGACGATTTAAGCAGATGGAGAAAACATGAGTGCTACGTGGGATGAGCAAAACATTCAGAGACCATGTAGAAGGAGAGCAGCGCTGGCACAGAAGGGAAGAACACAGATCCCCTGCCCTTATCCTTTTCCTGTGTCAAGAGGAGTGCAATAGGACTAACTGGCATACGCAAATTGTTTCAGATTATTTTGTTGCTTTCTCTCTCGAATGTTAAATATTCTTCATTAACAACTAGTGTAACATCAACATATCTTCCTCAGCTGTACTGTTAACTTCACAGGGATGTTTTACCCTGACACATCCTTTGGGGTATCACTGTCCGAAGCGCCAGTACTGCCGGGGACCAACCCCAATCCATAAGGCTGGAAGTTGTTTACAAGCACTATACTCAAACACTGACTTCATACCAGTTTTCTCTGCAATCTTGGGTTTTTCACATTAACAAGTCTCCCACCTGTTAAGAATGGCTATCTCCAATGCCAGCGCTGAACAGATTAACAGAATTATATATTCAGTTACAAACCACTTATTGTACCAGCTGAAGGGTGAAATTCATTATGAATGTCCCTACTCACAGTATAAATTCTTAAACGGAAAAAGCACGTACAGTTTAATTTCAAAATATGGGAGCAGATTTTTTCTATGATTCTGCTACTGAATATACTTACATTCTAATAAATCCTTAATTATCTGGAAAGGTCCACCAAACCAGAACAAAATTCATCATTCACATTAGCAGCAACATGTTGTCAAAGGACAGTCTTTGAGCAATCAACTGTATTTTAAAGATCTATCAAAGAAAAACTTCATTTCAAAACTCGGTTGTCCTTAGCATTACTTAAAACTAGCAAACTATAGACTGAATTTGTAGGTAAGACCCATTTTCTAAATATAACAAACTGAAGATATTATATGACCAAAAAAAGAAACGTCAAGGCCTTTTGGAAATCCGGACTTCTCTGAAAATATTTACCTTTTATGAGATAGCTGCATATAGAAGGGGACACAAGACTGTTTCCATGAAAGGTACGTAACTTATTCCATGGAAATGACAGGGACACAGAATTATTAAAAACATGACTCCCCAAAACATCAAGTTTAGAATAACAAGCTAGTGCCAATTTAGCCACCAAGTAGCTACAGTAGCACAATGCTTCACATTTCCACCTCACAATGGAATTGTAACCTTACCGGAACAGCTAACCAAGTAACAAAACCCGAAGCAGTAATCCTTTGAATGGCAGTATCAAGTAGCATCTGGAAATCCTGATCTCAGGCTCATGTCCTAGGCATAAATTTTTTCCACGTTTATTAACTATTCAAAAATCATTAATGCTCACCATGTTTGCCCTCATTTGAAATTTCAGTTCCTCAGACACTAAAGGTATCAAGTACTTGTGATCCACAAATTGGGATATTTGTGAGGGGGAAAGCACGTGTGTGAGGGGGAAGGCACCTGTGTGAGCAGCTCAAATCACTGACAGCCCCATATACTGATACACTGAAAAACTGTGACCTGAATTTCAGTTTTTTTAAATTAAAATGTAAATTCAGAGGGTCATGATTCTAATATTAAATTTAGCTTGACTGTAAACAATACATGCCTGTAAAGGTTGTAAGAAGCACAGAAGAAGCTGAATTGCACTGCTCACTGAAGAAGCACTGAAATATTGAGATTTTTACTCTGAGAGATGTTGGGAAACATAAACCCATACAATTTATAAATGCTCCCAATGGCCGAGTCTGCAGAACTGTTGTAGCTGAGCATATACTATCAAAGAAACAAAAGAAAATGGATTGTATTTATGAGACACAGCAGCCTCCACATACTTTTCTTGAAACTACTTGTTCTTGGCCTAGAAGCCTTTGTAAATGTTGTGATAAAGTAAGTGCCAGAACAGGGAGCAGTCATGCATGTGATAGGAAAATTCACTAGCGTGGCAGGGGAATATATATGAATGCTTGCGTTTGTTTGTTTGCTTGTTCATACTTTTTACAGCAGAAAGACATTATACTGGATGCTCTGAAACACTTCTAAAATATGCAGGATTTTACAAAATATTTTCATAATTATAAAGGAAGAAATGTTCTGCTTTCTTTTAAGAATGATTACAGGAAATTGGTCATGGCAATTTAATATCCTGTGTTATGTGGCTTCATCTCTCCCCATTCTCTGCTAACCTGCTGGAAAAGGTTGCTGTTGATTTATGCTTTTGTTTGTGAATTACACTGTAGAGTATCAGAAGCAATAAGAGCTGGAAAATTGCTTCTTACAGTCAATGACCTCCTTGTAGTTTACTTCCTTATTTTATCATAATGGAGACATATTCACATGATGGAGATTTCCCTACCAAAGAGAAGGCTCTGATCCTTGACCTTAATGACAATGTTTTTCTACCTGCTCCAAGCATTACCAGGATTTTAGTGACAGCCAACTTCGAGCAGAGATTAAAATAGGGTTTGTTATTCACTGATAAAAGTGCAGTCTACTGAAATAACTACTGCTGTTAAGAAAACAATGGTTTATCCTTTAGATTACAGTACCTCTCTCATATAAGCTTTCATTTCTCTTTGCTGGCTAATTCATCTTGTAAACAGGACCAGCACTGCTTGATCACCACTGTTAAGGCTATTTATTTGCACCTCAGAATGAAATAGAAGTACCTAATAAGGGCCCAAAGACTTCCGAAATCAGTGAGAGGCTTTTCCTCAACTCCAGGAGGATCTGATCAATCTCTATACAGAGTAATTACATTTTTCAGATGAGGTACAGAGGGCCGCCTTCTCCTGCCGCCGATACTCATGTAAATGAGGATTAACGCCATTGCAGTTGAGCTAATGGAATTACATTGCTATATGTGACAACCAAATCAGGCACTCAGCAGGGGCACTTTCTGGGTAAAGGCTGAAAGTCAGTCCGTGAAAAGACGACATAGAGATGCCTCACATAACATTTTCTGTGAGCATAAGCACTTGTTACTAATGACAGACTGAGTGCTGTAATACACGCAGAGACATGGTCAGCTAGTTAGGATCAAATTGGGCATCTGAATGTGGCTCAGTCATTTAGCATCAGTAATTGATTGTTCACAAATACAATATTTCTGGAAAACACCATGAATCTGTTACAGAAGTAAACTTCTTTTTCTAAGCCCAGCTCAGGATTCGCTCCTTCCTAAGGAAACAAAACCTATAAATTCCCATTGTCCATTATCCTCCATCCTGTAATTCTCCAAACACCAGACTTTTCATCCACTCCTAAGAGCCAAGGTCAAGCCTATCTGACATTGGCGTAGAATTACCAAAGATGTTAAGCTCCCAGGTTTGTCAGAAGAGGTGGCATGAAACGACCAAGGAGAGAGACAGATTAATACTCCCACTGAAGAAGTGTTTACAGAGCAGATTCAACCATTATTAAGAGATTCCACACAACAGATGGCACTGGAGAAAATCAAGCGTCATGCATTCTGCCACTTACAGAAATACTTGTTAAATAGGATGCAGAATAGTCGCTAATGAAGATAACACGTAAGAGAGCATTATTCTGCTCTAAGGCTTGATTTGACTCGGATTTTTTTTTTTTTTTTTTTTTTTTACAGAATTTCTTTGATGCTTTTTTATTTTAACACGTTTTGTTCTGTTACCTTGATGATATGGCAGTAAACAGCGGAATGAGATTTCTCCTAGGTTTCTTGACAAATTTCATTCCCTAAAAAAACACAACTGAGGTTGAAAAGTCAGTTTGCTTTGTCTTCCTTACTGTGCCGCTCCAATTAGAGCCTCTCTCTGTTGATGAGTTCTTGCTTGTCTCATCTTGTTAGATGTTGTAGTCTTCACACTAAACATTTTTATATGCAGAGTTTTGATGTCTCCTTAATTTAAATACCTATTGTCTTCCTGCAAATTTAATAACCTATTATTCAGTCATGTTCATGCTTGTTTTATTCAAATTTTTATATCTTGGTTTACAGATAATTTCAGGTAGCACAGGAAGATAGAATAGAGTAAAAGAATATGTTCAGGGTTGTTGTGGATTTTGTTTTTTTAATTAAAATAGTAAGGATGAAATTGCTGTATATGAAAGTAGAAAAGAGTATCAGAAGTTCCACTCACCCCCAACCTAGGCCACCAGGCCAATCTGATAAATACATATCAATTACTGTATAGAATAAGATATATATGCACAAGGCTGATGAGTTTACCCTCTGGTTATGGCTCTCCAGCTTCAATTACTAGATAATCCCTATAAGTCTAGAATGACTGAAAAATGACAGTGACCTAGTGAAACCCCAGTTTTAGAAATGACATTCAAAAAGTTTCAATAGAAGTGAAGAAAAATCCTTGCATCATCAAGTAATTTAGGTCCTGGATGTTAAAAAATGGCTTGGGAGATACAGGTTCAAATTCTTAAAATCAAAATAGGAGCAAAAGTTAGGTCCCCCACTCCAAAAGCATGTGGTCACCATGAAATACCTACAAATCAACGAGCTGGGGTTCCCTCACAGAGGTGGCAGGCATGTTCCGAGATTGCTGACTGAACTGAGCTCTTTCATCAAGGGTCGCCTACAATTCCAGATCCTGCCTGGATTTGGGCTTTCAGAGAGAACATGAAGATAAAGGAAGAAGTAACTCCAGATCCCTGTATTACAGTAAAATAGTAAAGCACCTATGCAATGAGAACAGTAACAAACTGAAGATTTCCTTGGACATGAAATAAAATTCTTCTGACTTACGTGGTTACCTCCTACGCAGCCTCCGTTCAGACGTCAAGGTTTCCTGTTGGACCCAGGCAAAGATTACTGTTCTCTCAGGACAGATGCTCCAAATGAGATCTTCAAGGAGATCAAAGACATATTAAAATAAGGATAAATACCTTCTGAATCTTATGTCTCCTTTCCACCTTAATTGAGAATATTCCAACAAGTTGCCCCACTGCTGTAGAGAGCAATGGAAATAGCCAAAAGACCACAAAATTCAAGCCAAGAGGAATGTACGACCACAAAAGCACAATCACAAATGTACAATCACAAGCACAAAAAAGTTATTGCTGTGATACAACAAGATCACCACCACCACCACGCTCACAACAAGGGATGCAAAGGCACTAGCACGCCAGTTCTACTGGACTATTTTTCCAATGATTAGGTTTCCCATTACAAAGCAGAGGAAATTATGTTTTTACCATCAATAACATAATCGATTATGATGAACAACTGCAATACATTAGATCAGAATTTATATGAGGACTTACTGCTAATTACCATCCAGAAGCTTTATCATTCAGCAGAACTTGAAGGAATTCGTTCAATTTATCACAGGGCAGAGGTGAAACTTAGGGGTTTAGATGAGGAACTGTGTCCATGGCAATAACTAGAAATTAAATTAATTCAGTCTTAAAGTTCTCATTCTGCAGCAATGATATTTTTGTCTGTCTTATCTCTTTCTTTCATCACACAGCAGCTGTTTTTAGAGACACTTCAATTTCATAAACACATTAGTATTTACTTGCTCTTATTATGATTATTTTTTCTCTATGCTCCTGTAAACTCTTTAATACTCCAGCAATAAAGAATATTTCATTTGCAGTCCTTCTCTGAACAGAATAAAGCCATTCCTGAGACTTATCTCTTCTTATTTAAAGCAACTACTGATTACATACATCCTAAAAGACCATCTACTGATGTCTTCTTGTAGTGCATAGTTCTCCAAGTCAATTAAGTGGCATTACAAGATCTTGAAATTGATATGATCTTGAAATTTTTCTTCTACTAAAAGGGATAGCAACATTTTTATTGTTAATTTTTTTCACTGTTCTTTGTGTCTTTATTAAGCTAAATATTAGGATAGACAGAAGGATTTTATGTTCTCATCATAAAACTTCCTTTTATTCTAATGAGGCAGTCTGGTTTTTGAGGAAAGGAAATGCACATTTCTGTGAGGTATTACAGCCAGCCAAGCTCCTACAATGCAAAATATTAGGACATTCACAACATTTTGTAAAATATGGCATACATTTCTGTTTCTTGTAAACAGACTTTAATTCGGCTCGCTCTCTACCAATGGACAGTGGGTGTCTGGGCTTTCAGGAAAAACAAGAAAAATGCAATCTGGATAGGGTTTAAATGTAACTTGTTTTAGTTCTATTGAAAGCAGCCTGGAAGAAAGGAAGCTGAACAGCATTCAAGAAGACTGTCTACTTTTAGAAAATTTTGCCAAACACAGAAGACAAGAAAGCTCTTGCTGGAAGCAGACAGAAACCAGAACTTTTCCCCTGCAGCAGACCTTCCTACAGAGATATGCATATATCTGACAGGTTTTGACAAACTGTTGAGAACCCTGTTGCTGTCTAGGAAAGGTCATCTCCTACAAGCATGAACACCACTGCTTTCAGCTTTCTGCTGCATGCTACAGTTCTTGTTTTATTCATAACAACTTTTTTTTTTTTTTTTTCTCCCCCCAGTCTTGTCTCTTTAATTGTTTTCCTCTGCTGAGAGGGGGATTTCCTACCCTAGAGGGTAAATTCCACTTAATAATACAGAGTTCACAGCTGCTTGGGTCACATGCAGTCAGGAGCAGATGGAGCATGTTGTACCCTGGCTTTCCACCAATATAAATTTAGGTCTCACATCTGCCATCTCCTCATCTCTGACATCATCTGCTTCAATCCTCCTTCCCAGCTTCTCCATCCCAATGGCTGATTCTTCTTTTCTATTCCTAAAATGACAGAATAATGGGGACTGCCATAGCAAAGCGTAAAGTTGTTTTGCCAGCTTTATGCCAAGAGCAAGATTGCCCAGTCAGCAGTTATGTGCCTGCTACAGAGTCACTTTATTCTGCTCCAACAGCATAAAGAGGTCACAGAAAATCAGAAATTCAGGCCTTCTGTGGCTGCATGACAGCAGGAATTTAGAAGGTTGTATAAAATTTGCTGTAATGAGCACACTTCATAACATCAGATAAATTTCTGCACCTAAAAAAGTATTCAGAAACGTGACCTTAGCTCTCCCAGTCTACATTCCCTCTCAAGACAAGAGAAAGCAATGAGTTCCTCCAGGAAAGGGTTCAGAGTCAGGTTTTAGTTGAAGCTACTCTAATGGCTCTTAATTTTAGCTATAGTCTTCTCATTCAATGACCAAGAAGATCCAGAGAGAGCAGTTTTCTCAAAGTTAGCTGCTAAGAATAACTTCTCCCACCTCCACACTAAAGCATGATAGAAGCTGTGTTCCAAAACACCTTTGTAAACTATGTCTTTAATTTCAGTATTATCTAATACAATTTTAAAACACTATATGAATGTCGCTAAAAGATGCAATCCCTCTTGGACTCTTTTGGTCTTCTGAAGTTCTATTGTTGTTAGGTATGTTAAGCCCAGGATTTTTTAATATTTACAGTAACTGCTGAACATAAATCATCCTTTATTCATATGTAAATCTATGCAAATACAAGTTCATGGATTGTGCACTGTGTATTTTGTGATAGGCTGATTACAGGAGCAATGGCTATTGATTTTAATGCTTCTTGGAACCCATTCTATCATACAAGTTCAGGGAATTTAGTTTTTTCTTCGTATTTCAGCTTTCTTTTATGTAAAACAGCATAATAGTTATAATCATACCATTTTCCACTTTCTGTACACAGGAGAGAAGAACCTTGCCAACTAATAAATTGATATTAGTAATACTGAATGAAACCAGTACTAAAAAGATCACATTTTTAGAAATTAATGGGATTTCTTGATGCATATCTAGTTTCTGTCATCATAGCCTAATTACCAAACCTTCATTTTATTAATGAACAGCACAGAAATGTTCAAAAATAAACATTTTTATCTCATTTCAAGTCCTAAATCAATGAAGACTAGAAGAAATAAACATCTGGGAGACTTTGTGTGGGGCCTGGTATAGCTTTTAAAAAAACATTCTTATTATATACTGATATTTTATTAAGCTACTTTGTATTTACATAGATTTATTCTTCCTGAGAATATAAAGTTCCTTTTTGTAAGCAGAGAAAGAAAAAAAAAAAAAAACAACCAACAACAAAACAAACAAACAAAACAAAAAAACCCAACAATCTAAAAGAAGGCATTTGATGGGTTTATTTGAGTGGCATAGCTAACTCTGACCTGTGTTCCCACTTGTGATGCCCCTATTGTAATCATAACCTCATGGGAAGGAAACTTAGTAGTACAGACATATTTGAGAAGACCAAAGTACTCCTGCTGCTAAAATTGTCTTCAGAGACATTTTCCACCTATGTGCGAGATGCGTCCAGCTGACTGCCCAGGAGACAAGTGAGGGAATTTCTTCGGGGACTGCAACAGCTGGATGTTAAAATTCTTAAGTCAGGCTATGACTTATAAGGCAACAAGCTGTCCCTGGCAAACTGCTCCTTCCTGCAAGCAGAAAATTATTTAAGTAATGAATTTAAGTCCCAGTTCCCAAATTTGCCTCCTTCCCAAAGGTGTAACATCAAACGCAGAGTGGAATTAAATCAGTACAATTACAGGCTGCTATAATAATAAATATTATCCAAAATTAGAAAGGTAAATCCCAAAGGACTCTTTTTACTGTAAGAACAAGCATTCCCATAAGTTTTCTTGAGGTCCCGAGCCTGGGGATATGCTTGCAAGTCAACAATGCCACTGACCTCTTGTTTTGCCAATTATTAGGCCTAGCATAAAGGACACAGCCAGCATAAAGATGAACCAATAACCAAATTGTATTTGATACAAAAGGGTAAGTACATGGGTGAGTGCTGGGGGTACAAACAAGTCAGATTATACATAACTGACATCAATCCCACTGACCCCAACAATGGGTGGAATAAATGGTGAAATGCAGTTTCCCATAGAAGGGACGGGAGACAACCGAGTCAACAAGCCAAATACACAAGACCAAGGAAGCCACATACTGAATCTCTACACAGCCCACGTTTACAAAAGCCAGACCTGACTGGAGCCCAGTCCCAGGGAGGCAGGAGGTCCTTCCCCAACAGGGAACTCTGCACAGGGCATCCACCTCACAGACAGACACTGCCCCTACCTGCAAGGGGTCCCAGCTTTTATCCCTCAGGGGGACACCTGACCTTTGCTGACTTAATGTGGGACACCTGGGGCTCATTTACCCAATGGCTCTGTCTGCAAGGCCGGCCCCACCCTGGAGGGAAGCCTAAAGGTAAACTCACCCCCCTTTGGGAAGGGCTGTGGGAATCACCCATATGTCAGCCTTAATTTGGGGCTTGGGGTTGAAACCCCAGCATTTCAACTCTTGAGGAAAACAAAAACCAAAACCCCAACCAAACAAAAAAAAAACCAAAACATTGTATTAAACTGGAAACACCATAAAAACTATAGGCAATGAGGAGGAAAAAAAAGAAAAAAACAATTCAGAACAATAAACAACAGTCATTTTCCTACTGAAATTCACCATTGCTGCTGAGGGACTTTACAAACACTGCATCCAAGTTGGAATTCAAGATATGAACTCCAGGGGCCTTATGCTTTTATTCCAAACATGCTTGAAAAACATTTTAAAGCATCTTATCTCTTGTCCACATAGACATATTCATGTCTCATGCCTTAACAGAAAATGCTTTCAATATGAAAGATTTCTTTGAATGTCTCCAAGCCGTTTAGGTAATTGCTTCAAACAGCATTCCCTGCTTGAGAAATGCAGCGCACACCTCCCCACCCACTCCATGGCAGCCTACAAGTTTTGATTTAAAGCAATTGAAAATAAGTGGCATCTTGTCTTACTCATCACCAATTTGCTAAAAAAAAAAAAAAAAAAAAAAAAAGGTTATATAATATAATGTCAAAAAGTGATACAATTATATGTAATATTACAATGAGAACCCAGTCTTCAGATCACCATTATAAATCCAATATGCTGAAAATCAGCTTTTAGGAATTTTCTTTGCTAGTCATAAATCCCTTACAAACAGTCCTTGATTCTAAAGGTTCAGGTTGAGATGACCTAGTAGGTCCATTGTGTCATAAAAACCTAACATTTTAAAAATTAGAATTATGGCCATCTTAGCTGTTGCATGGGAACACAGAAAAAAACATTAAGTGTAAGGTTTGCTGGAACAATGAACTGTGCTTACATTCAAATATAAATCTGAAAAATAGAAACCTGTTCCAAGCTTGGATTAATGCTCAGATTGAAACCTAATCGGTCTTTAATCCTTTGTCATTGAAGAAAACAGGAAAATTGCAGATTCCAAGTGACAGTGTGGCTAAACCCCAGGAGTATGGAAGCTTCTCAAAAACACACTGAAGGGATGTGTATTATGCCAGTCCTGTCATAATTTGTTTTGAAGAACCTACACACAATAAAAGCAAATGAGGAAAAAGTTTTAAGGCAGAACATTTCTACTATAGGACATATCAGCTTTTGGTTTTGCAGATATCCTACCATATGAAGTTATTGTGCAAATTTAGTTACTTGTAATCAGTGAATACTGACTTTTATATACTATAAAATGTTTAAATGGAATAGAGGTATAGTCAGACACCCTGACTACAAAATTCACTCTTCTACAGGATACAGAATTGCATCAAATACTGAACCCAGAGAGAAAAAATTCCTTCCATCACAGGAAAATACTGATACTTGCTTTTACCAGGGAGGGGGTGTCCACCTCTTGTATAAAGTAAATACGTTTTACAACAATTTTACTAAGACCATGTACTTACAGCTTGCTTTTGCAAATGTTATAGAGGGCTATGTACAAATCTTTACCAAAATTTTATTACATCTACTAC